CAGTGGAGGTAGTACTGGGTCTGCAGTCAGCAAGTCTTGAGTTCATATCCAGCCTCACCTGGTAATAGCTGTGTGACCCTGGGTAAGTCACTTAACCTGTTTGCCTCCATTTCCTCAACTGCAAAATGGGGATAATAATATAGCCTACCTGACAGGGTTGTTGTGAGAATCAAATGAAATAATATTTGCAAAGCGCGTTTAGCACAGTGCCTGGTACATAGTAGGCACTCTATACTTATTCTCTTCCCTATTGTCAGATTGTGAAGGATTTTAAATAAGTAAGCTGAAGAGTTTGTCTTTTATCTTAGAGGCAACAGGAAGCCACTGAAGATTTTCATCTTGGAAATTACAAGGTCTGATTTGTACCTTGGGAATATTATTTTAGCAGCTGAGTGGCAAATGGATTGCAGAGAAGAGAGATGGCAATTAGTTTTTTGTTTGCTTTTTGCCAGGCAAATAAGGTTAAGTGACTTGCCCTGAGTCACAGAGCTAGTAAGTGTCAAAGTGTCTGAGGCTGGATTTGAACTTGGGTCCTCCTGACTTCAGGGCTGGTGTTCCATCCACTGTGCCACCTAGCTGCCCCTGAAAGGCAGCAATTAGAAAACTATTCTGATCACCTAGGCCAGAGGTGATGAGGGACTGAGGTGGGATAGTGACTCTGAGTGGAAATAAGAGGACAGATGAAAAAATGTCAAGGTACAAATCAATAAGACTTGCAAGTGATTGTGCATGGGAAGAATGGAAAGGGAAAAAAAGTCAAGAATGACCTTGAGATTATAAACCTGGGGGACTGGCAGGATGGTGATACCTTCAACCAAAATAAGGAAGTTTGAGGGAAGGGTAGTTTTTATGGAAAGATGAATTCCATTTTGGACATGTTGAGTTTGGGATACCCACAGAATATCCAGGAGGCAGTTCTGATGCATGGGTAGGATCTGGTAGATTAAACCTGGCTCGCTTAGTGGTGTAATGGATACAATGTGGGGTCTGGAGTCAGGAACACTCATCTTCCTGAGCTCAAATCTGGCCTCGGACACTTACTAGATGTGTGACCTTGGGCAAGTCATTTGACCCTGTTTGCTTCAGTTTCCTCATCTCTAAAATGAGCTGGACGAGGAAATGGCAAACCACTCCAGTGTCTTTGCCAAGAAAACTCCACAGAAGTGGATACAACTGAAAGACTGAACAACAACAAAGATACAAAGACTAAACCTAGGTATATAGATTTGGGAGTCATATGTGCATTGAGATAGTCACCATTCACCACAGAAAAAGAGGGCCCAGGACAGAAGCCTGAGGAAAATGCATGCTTACAGGGTAGAAGGTGGGATGATGATACAACAAAGGACATAGAATAGTCATCAACCAAAAGGAGAATCAGGAAAGTAATGTTTCATGAAGCCAAGGGAGAAGATAATATGTCTTGAAAGAGAGTGAGGTCAATAGTACCAAAAGGTAGAGAAAGCACAAGGAGTGAGAGGGACTGAAGAAAGCTTGTAAAGATTTAATAGGTCAACAGACCTAGCTGACTAGTGGTGACCTTGCAGAGTTTTAGTGAGTAGTGGATTCAGAAAACAGACTATAAAGGATTGGGTAGGGAGGAAGTGAGGACAGTGACTCTTTATAGAAGTCTGACGATGAAAAGGAAGAGATCTAGGACAACAGTTTGAAAGGATGGCAAGGTCAAGTGAAAGTTTTCTAAGGATGGGGTAGACCTGAGCATTTTCGTACATTATGGGGAAGTAACTAGTATATAGGTAGAGAGCAATTTCTGCCAAACTCCTCCTACTAGTAGTTTTTCTTTGGGGGCTTAACGAACAAGGAAGTTATATTCAAACGCTTCCAGACGTTGCTTATCTAATTTATTCCACTGATCTACTTTTCTGTTGACAGTACCAAACATTTCTAATGATCAGTACATTATAAGAGTTTGAGATATGCTAATAATATTTCCCCTTCATTCCTTTTTTTCCCTTTATTTCCCCAGAAAGACCTTGAGTTCCTTCAAATGGATTTTTATTTCATCTCCTTATATAAAGTGACCACTTGTCAATCTGATTGCTATAGCATTAAATCTGCAGTTTCGTTTCAGCACACAGTGTATGCAGTCATTTTTATTATATTGGTGCAGTATAAAACTGAAAAATGAGCTGTCAACTATTTGTCTTCCTTTATCCCAGCAAAAAGCATTTTACAGTCTTATTTACAAAAATTCTGAATGCGTCTTGGTATGTTAACCGCATCTTTAGTGGTTTCCTATTGCCTTGAAGATAAAAGACAAACCTCTCAACATTCTCATTTAAAATCCTTCACTATCTGACAGCGGTCTGACATTCTGGGAGTATCTACTATCATCCTCCTTTACATACTATGTATTCCAGCTGAACTGGCCAGAACTTGGCATTCTATTTTCTAGCTCTCTGATGCTGCATGGTCTGTCTCCCTCATGCCTGTAATGAAACACCTTCTACTCATCTCTGCCTCTGAGAATCCCCATCTTTCCTCAAGGCTGAGTTCAAGTGCTACTACATATAAGAAGCCTTTTCTCATCCTGAGTTGTTAATGATATTTCTGTGGGTAAATTAGTATTGATATACTTATCAGTTTACATGTCATACTAACCTGTTCTCTTCCCATTTTTCTTCTCTCTATATACTTATACCTATATTCTCTATTACCTTTGGTAATCTCATCCATTTCAATGGTTTCAAGCATTAACTCAATGCAGCTGCTCTCAATTCATATCACCCACCTGAATTCTTCCTCAAGCTCTGGCTTAAAATTGCATTAAGGCTTTTGGAATGGCTTGTGTGTGTGTGTGTGTGTGTGTGTACATACACAAACATACACAATACACATGTATGTATGTCCATGTGGATATGTATACATTTACATATGTATATAACTATCCTAAGTGTTATCAGAACATAACCTCCACTATCTTAATCTTACTGTGAATTACAATTTGGACACGTACTTTTTTTTCCTAGAGTACAGAAGAATACTGAAACAGCATAAATTGCCCTCCCCAAAACCCAAGACCAACCCTAAAACAAACCACCATTCATCAGAAGGAATTTTGTAAACACAGCTTTTTATTCTTGTCTGACTCTTGAAAAAGAAACCTAAGCCCCACCAAAACCAGCATTTACAAATCTTGGTAACTGAACACAGAACCCAATATTCCGATGATTAGTTCTCTACACAATTACTAAACTATGTTTTCAGATTGCTTTTTTAAGAATGGAGGTCTATTTTTTCTGTTTGTAACCTTGTTCTTATTTAAAATAACAGTATCACCCTCAAATATTAAACTTTCATAGAAAACTGAAGCATTGCCTCTAGAGGTCTGAATGTCTTTTTATTTAAGTTTATTTTGAGTATTCTCATGTACATCTTTCAGAAATAAGTGCACTTCTAAAGTGAAAAGAAAAAAACTTTAAATGAAAATAAAGTGAAAATACTGGGGTAAGAAGAAAATATTCATCTAGAATTTTTATGGGATTCAGACAAGAGAATGTGTTTAGGGGCACAGGATCTCTGTTTATCAACACAGAGATCTGCTTTCTTTGGAAACTGTAAAAAACTGGACAACTGATTTTTTTTTACCCCCAATAAAGTGGAATACCAATATTCTGTAGATTTTCCATAGACAAGAATTAAAATAATGTACTTATATATGGAAAAACAGCTTTAAAATATACAGATTTCCAGGAAAATATATAGGGGTTAAAAAACAAAATAACAGGACATCAGGCTTACATTTTAATTTCCTTAATGTTTTATAATGACCTGGGAAGATCAAAAAATGTTTCCAATATTTTACAGTTCTTATTTCCCATCTTCACCAAATAATTTTATTAAAATCAGTTTGCTAAGAAATCACATATATGACTTCTAAGCAATTCAATATTTTCTGACAGCTCTACATTTTGGTAAATTTAAAGGAGATTTAAAGCTGTATTAAGAAATGTACATAAAGAAAAATAACATAATTCACTTTAATATAAAGGTGATTTTTTTTCAATAAAAAAGTCAAAGTCTACATTAAAATCAAGATATCAAGAAATCTGAGTTATACAGTTTTATATATATATTTAGGAAAAAATAATTTATAGTAAAACTTCTGTTAATTCAAAATCATGGCAAATTTCAAAGCAAGTGCTATTAACCCCTAGTGTTTTGCCATTTAAATGATGTGGTTTACCTGAAATATGGTAATGTGTAATAGTGAAAATTCTGTCTCAATAGTACTTTGCAAATCACCTGTTTAATCTGCACATTAATCAAATTGTAGGCTCACAAAGGACAGAGAGTCTTTAATTGCTTTTAGATAGGCACTTAAAATGCTTTTGATGAAATGATCCGATGGATTGTGAATCATCACCCTGTTAACTTGTGTGAAGGTGAGAAAAGTGACATGTGATAATCTAAACAAAGTAAACTTTTTATGACTTCCACTGACAAGGAATTAGGAACGTTTCTAGGTTCTTTCCATGAAATAATCTGAAAAAAGCAGGTTTGCTAAATTTTCTGCTTCCTTCCAACTAAAATGAGAAAGTGGATCTTTCAGCTCCTTTTACTACATATTATATTGGCCTTCTGAATCTTGAATTAACAATGTTTTACTGCACTAGTTACTAAGGTTAAAAAGGGGAAATTAAGAATTGGATAAAATTGCAATCTCCTTGAATCTTACCAAAACACCTTTATCCTTTTAGGACAGCTCTTTAAAAAAACCAGCAGTATTGGGGCAGCTAGGTGGCACAGTGGATAGAGGGCCGGCCCTGAAGTCAGGAGGACCTGAGTTCAAATCCGGCCTCAGACCAAATACTTGACACTTACTAGCTGTGTGACTCTGGGCAAGTCACTTAACCCCAATTGCCTAACCCCCCCCCCAAAAAAAAAAAACCCAAGCAGTATCGAGTAAAGAATCCTGGAAGCTGAAAATGTTTATAAAAGGCAGTTATAGCTTTGAAAAATCAGAAAGTTAGTCAAAATGAGATAACCCAAATCAAAATTTTAATAGCTTTCGCCATTAGGATACTCAGTCGCATGACCCATACATGGAAAATAGAGAAGATGAAGTCATGGATAAACACACAACACAGGTTCAAATACTGGAACTGAACATTAGGTGGCAAAAGTAAAAGCTAGATGTTCTTGAGACAGATGTGAGGTTACCTAGCAGCAACAACTGTAAAAGCTTTAAAAATTTTGCATAATCCTCATATGTAATTTTTCCTATTCAAGAACAGGAAACCTCCTAAGAGCAAACCATCAGTCTAGATTCTGGAAAAAGGTCAGTTACAATAACTGTAGTTGTTGACTGCTTTCATTGTTTGAAGACACAAATCATTAGGGCATTCTTAGATAAAGGATTACTCTTTAACTGTTAGGTCCCCATGAAATGCTAAAACTTCAGATAGTCATTTCAAAACTAAAATATAGAGCTACAAAAGACTATTTAACTTTCAGGCAAGACAGATTCACTGGCCACATCATTAGATTTGAGTATGAATTCTTACATCCCCTCCCCCCACCCAATCCACAAAACCTTGGCCAACATTCACTTCCTGGAACCCATCTACTTAAACCACAGTGATAAAACTAAATGTGAATAATATTGCCCTTGAATAAGTTAACCTCAATCAAAATCCTTTCACATCTTAATATGTCATTCCCAAAGGAAAATAAAAATTCCTCTTAGTCATGAACACCCACTCAATTCAGGATCTTTGGTACATTTGGAGTATAATGACTAATGGCACAATAATGCAAGGAGAAACTTCCATTCAATGAAAGAAAAAACAACAGGTCTGATATGTATTAACTTCATCTTTCTGGAAAACCAAAGTAAAGAGCTCTTGGCATCTCTGCCAGTTCATTATCATGATCAGAAGGTTGACATTTAAAAAAATAGTTTAATAAAAATACACAAATTCTACATACAAGCAGCCCATATAGTCATTTCTTAAAACCAACTTGCTATAATTAAATGAAAATAATGCCATGTTCTCTGTAAAAAAAAAAAACCGTTTGCCTTAAGGAAAGCAACTGGATGCTCTCTATATTCTATAATTACATCTCCCTAAGAGTACACAGACAGATGTGTACAACAGTACACAGTAATTCTGGATGAAAAGTAAATGGTTTTAGTGTTGTGTTTGAGTGGAGGTGTTGTACTTCCTTATCCGGCTCATAAGCTTGTTGCCCTGTATGGTGGAGTCTGCACAATAACCTGATGATAAACCTAATTAACTTTAAATAACCAGTGTATTTCCTATTTCTATTAAAATCATTATTTAAGTTGTCTTTATATATGCTCTATGGATGTTTAAACCAATAGGGCAAGTGTTCTAACAACTATGGAAGATGGCTTTTATCTTGATTATCTAAACCCATAAGGTTTGCAAGAAAACAGCAATACTGCACCGTGACCTACAGGTTAGCCTATGTTGCTTTAAATGATATGTGTTTCTCCTGAATCGATTAGAAGTGTTACAGTACAAAGCCACAGTACACAGAGGCAGAATGGACGTAATATGCGCGAAGGCAGTGCAGTTACAAAGGGATGTACACTCCTTTTATTCCAGTACCTTTGTATAATAAAGTTAACAAAAATAGTCAAATATTAAAAAAAATCCAGCTGGCACTGCCAACTAATTCCTGTAGAAGTCTTAGAAATCCTAATCCTGTAGAATTTCCTCTTGAAGTCGATGAGCACCACCGTCCTTGGGAATATTTATTTCAGTGTATTGTTATCTACGCCAAGCAAGCCTTGGTGATGCAGCTACCTGAGTTCTTTTGGGGTGTGGGCGTATGTGAGTTTCATTCATAATTTCCCAGCTTTCATGTAGGAAGGGATAGAACCACGCTGAGTCAGCCCTTCAAACCGCTTATAGGTATAATTGAGAAAAACCCAGTCTTTGGATTTGTAGTCCGCTTCTGTGGTATTTGGCACTGTAAAACAGAGACAGCAAGTTAACCATGTACAAAGGAATTCCAAAGAACTTTTACAATGAAAGATAAGAGCAACAGGAGAATAAACACATTTCTGTAGTCTTTATAATCAAGAAAGTTCAAAGCAGCATTTTCTCTTACCTGGTTGTAAGATATCAGATTCAGGAAATTCATCAAAATTTGATGTATCATCAATGCTTTTAATTTCTATGGGAATTGCAGCTGGCCTCTCCCTACACATGCCAAAGAAGAGCATTAAACAGCTATAGTAAATATTAATTTACTTTAAGTTGCCCATTAACCAAAAAATCCCATTCAGAAATTCTGCATGCTGTTCTCTGGGCATTACAAAAGAATGACAGAGGCATTAGAAGGTCTGTGTTGGAAGTCCATCATCTGTATGATAGGATCAATTAGTTAAATGTATTTAAAATTTGTAATTTAAAGACTTTCTGTAATTTAAAATAAAAAAAATCTATTTACATGACATTATTAACTCAATACTATCATATATTCTATTTTCCTAACTGCTGTCCCATCTCTACCTCCAGCCAAGGAAGGAAAGAAAGACTGGAAGAAGAGGGTAATAAATTTAGAGAAATCGAAGAATCTTTTATCTAGAGAATGTCAAATTGTGCTTGTGTCCTGTCTGGTATTAAATAGTGGAATAGCTAGCTCCAACTTGATTTAGTCAAGATTGGAACATTCTGTAATCTGCAAAGTGATCAGAAGTGATAACTTGATAGTGGTCTTTTCATTACCCTCTCTGTAGGGGGAGAGGGTAGTACAGGGGAAAAAGAAATGGGATTACAATGTTAAAAAGGAAACTCAATGCATCAGTTTGTTTAAAATGCAAACTTCGAATGTGGAAATATGATTGTACAGGTATAGCCTATATCAGGTTACAAGTCATCTTGGGGAGAGGCAGGGGAAGGAGGGGGAAAATTTAGAATTCAAAATCTTATAAAAGTGAATGTTGAAAACTAAAAATAAATAAAACTAAGTAAAAAAATAAAATAAATAAAATAAAAAAACAATCATAAGGAACTAAAAAAATAAAAACACAAACTTACAGGGGATAGATGGAGGGAAAGAATTTGGAACTGAAAATAAAACCAAATTAAAAAAATAAAACAGGAAAACAAAGTGCAAATTTAGTATCATAGCTCTAGATCTTTAGTCTAGCCACCTCATCTACAGATGAGGCCTAAGGAAGTTAAATGACTTGCCCAAAGTAGCACAGGATATGGAGAATCAGAGGAAGGAACACAGGTCCCTTTAGGTACTAGATCCAATATTTTTTCCACTGTATACTTCAGCAGTCATGCAGATTAGGATAAAAGAAAATGATCAGGCCTCATGACATCTCAGTCCTCACATATGAAACAAGTTATACTATATATTTTTAAATGAGTAAAATTTAACATTCTTTAGCTCTATACCATTAACTCTTACTAATTCTAGGCACATGTCTCTGAAAGGTAGAAGAAAAGTGTCTTTATTTTTTTTTCCCAGAATTTTACACACTGGCTTAAATAGCAAGAATCATAATACAATAAAATGATGAAAGTATTCTGATTAAATTATTTAATGAAAACCAACAATAAACAGCGAGTGAGGAATAATAAGCAAATTAATCTGATGTGTTTCCAATGGTCTCTTTTACTTCAAGATGAATTGTTTAAATGAGGTTTATAAATACATAGAAGTGTCTAATGAACCCATCACCCTGGTGAAAAATATAGCTACTATCACATCTAAATATATTTGCACGTGCTAATAGTTTTGATCAAGCAGAAATCCTTACTTCAATCAAGAAAAATCACTCTAAATAGAAAACTCTCAACAGAGGCACAATTGTACATTTTCAAATTATTTTTTAATCACTGAAAATGACACTTGGATTTAGTCAATTAGCTTTAACCTGCATAATCTAATGTGAATGTAATTATGAAAAATGGATTGCATGTTTTAGAAATATATTGATTACGGGAGCAGCAAGGTGGCACAGCGGATAGAGTACCAGCCCTGGAGTCAGGATGACCTGAGTTCAAATTTGGCCTCAGACACATAACACTCACTAGCTGTGTGACTCTGGGCAAGTCACTTAACCCCAATAGTCTCACCAAAAAAAATTTAATTTAATTTAAAAAATACATTGATTACCTACTATTGTAATGAAATTACTTCTTATCTTGGTTCTGACAGGATATGATCAAATTGATCTTAAGAGTTTATTGGTTTTTTTTTTTAACTTTAACTTTGTTTAACCTGTCATGTATGCTGGATAAACATACCTGATGTGCCCCCAATCTACTCCTTCAAAAAAGGGATGATCCTTGATTTCTTCTATTCCACTGTTTCCAATTCTGTTTTCTGAATCAATACAGAATCTACAACATGGAAGCAAGCTATTAACATAACAATCAAGAAAGCTTCAAAAAAAGTTATTATTAAATCAGTTATTTGAACTACTTCATCTTTTAACTAATAAACATAAAATAATTCTGTATTTGTAAATTTTGAGGAAAAACAAATATGTGTTTTTGCACATAGTGGTGTTTGGCAAATGATTACTGAGTGAATGGGTAGATGAATTAGGTTATAGAAATTTGTAACAAGCAATTAGAACAAATTTACCTTTTCCCTTCTCTTCTTATAAGCTTGGGCCATAGTCTTAGACAGATACATATACTATACTGCTCTTTTGCTTTCTTTTTATGTCCTTCCAAATTTAATTATTTTTCCAATTTTTGAATATTTATTTTTCTCTCTTCATTTACCTCCAAACAATATAAAGAAAAATAAGCCCTCATAGCAAATACACATGGTCAAACAGAACAAAATTTCTTTTTTTGTCATCTTTGCCAATCTAATAGACATGAGGCTGAACCTTAGAACTGCTTTAATTTGCTTTTCTTTAATTATTAGTGATTAAGGGAATTTTTTTCATATGGCTATTGACAGCTTAGATTTCATCCTTTAAAACTGCCTGTTTATATCCTTTTGCCATTTATTATTGGAGGATGACTCTTAGTCTTACAAATTTGAGCTAATTCCTTATATATTTTAGATACGAGACCTTTAACAGAGAAACTTACTGCAAAGATTTTTTCCACAACCATTTATTCCCCTTTAATTTTAACTGCACTGGTTTTATTTGTTTAAAAAAATACTTTCAATTTTACATAATTAAAATTGTCCATTTTATCTTGTGTGGTCCTCTCTATCCCTTGTTTAGTCCTCAACTTCTTCAGTTCCATAGATCTGATGGACAACTTCTTCCTTGCTCATTGAATTTGTTTATACGTTACTTTTTACATGTAAGCCATATAACCATTTGGAGTTTATCCTGGTATATGGTGTGAAGGCTGGTCTATGCCTAATTTCTGCCAGACTGCTTCCCAGTTTTCACAGCAGTTTTTCCCAAATAGTGTGACCAACAGATTAATTACACCTTATAACACTATTTCCCAGCTCACCGTACAAGAGAATAAAAACTTTTACCCACGCCTGCAACTTGTCCCGATTGGTGGTTGCCTCAGTTGTCCACTGCATCTAGGCCTGGGATCCAGCCATTCTTCACTTCTTTCCATTAGTGGCCATACTGGGTGTATACTTTCTGTCCCCCTAACTATGTCCTCCACTCTTTTTGGTAACCATAATCAAATGAATTTTATCACTGCTCCTAGAAAGGGTGTGTATCAGTCTAATTCATTGTCGTTCCCTTTACCACACTAGTAACTTTTCAAACCAAACTGTCTCCCTCGTTAGACTGTAAAGTATATGCATCGTCTCCCATGATACCGTAAACTTCTTGAGGGTAGAGACTGTCTTTGTTTTTGTAGCTATATACAGTGTACATTATGCTCTTAGCACAGAGCTTGGATCTTAATATATGATTATTCATTCATTTTTTTTCATGAGATTATATATATTCAAAAAATCACTGCTGTTTACCATCCTAATTAAGGGGCAGATCAGGCTATTCCTGAATAGGGTACATTCTTTATCAGTATATTCTAAATCCCAATTAGAATTGCTGAAAAAATTAAAATATCCTGCTACATTTTAATTATGTATCTTTAAGATTCCAATGGGTCATTTATATGGATTTAGGCACTAACCTGAGAATTAGGTTCTTGGCTTTCTCTGATATAGGTACTTCTGGAGGAAATACTAGAGTTTCTTTCCAGTTCATAACTTTCCTGTAAGTTTCTTGTGGTGTTTCAGAACAGAATGGTGGATATCCTACATACCAAAGATAATAAAGTTTCATCTGATGTTTTGATCAAACATAGTAAGAGCTATATAAGTCACGGCACGTGAGAAGAGAAATAAGACCTAATCTGCTTGGCTCTGTAAGGCAGAAACAGACTCTGATGTACAAAACCTTAGTGTTAACTTTGATTCATTTCTGTTTTTCATCCCATATACACTTAGTTTACTAAATCTTACCAATTCTACATTTTTGATACGTCCTAACTCCAATTCCTCCTCTCCATTCCCACTGGACTCTCATTAAGATAGGCACTTCATTGCTGCCTTCCTACATTATGTTAACCACTTATTAACAGCTTTCTGCCTTTGCTTTCCCCTTCTACTCAATCCTTCTTATACACTGCCAGTCAGATTTAACTTCTTAACTACAGCTCTGTTCACATTACTTTTTGCTAAAAACCTATTGTTTCAAGGTCAAACTTGTCTCCTCTGTTTTGGCACATTCAAGTTTCTCTATGATCTGATACTATTCTACCTTTTCAGTCTTATGCTAAACTGCTCCCCTTCATTCCCTCTCCACCGAAGCTAAAACAGACCTCTCAGTCCCAGGTATATACCTGCACCCTCCCAACTCCACGTCTTTGTCTGACCTATTACTCATGCCCAAAATAAGATAGCTCTCCTCCACCTGCTCAATTCCTACCCATCCACTAAAGACCATCTCAAATACCTCCTAATAAAAGATGCCTCCCCTGATTGCCTCAGTTGGAAATGACCTTTACTCAACTGACACTAATGTATCACTTTGTTAAAACTATTATTATGAACTTAACATGCATTATTTTATATTTATTTACAAATATTATATCACATTCTCTTGACTAGATTATAAACTCCTTGAGGGCAGGGCTGCATTTTAGCTAAATTCAGAATCTTCCTTAGTCCTCAGCACAGTGATCTGCAGCCATTGAATACTTAAGAGATGTTTGCTGAATTGAATTAATAGAATTTCAGAGTCAAGAGGAATCTTAAAGGTTATCTAGTCCCACCTTTCTTAAGCAGCTCTCTACAAGATCTCAGCTAAGCAGTTAATTTGACTTCCTGCTTGAAAACCTCTAGCGTACTGTCTACAAGAAAATCATGAAATTTTGAGTCAAGAAAACTGAATTCTAGTCCCACTATGAAGACTATCTCTGTGACCATGGGCAAGTCAATCAATCAGTCAGCATTGATTAAGTACTTTCTAGGTGCCAGGAACTGTGGCTACTTTCAGGGAACATGTGTTTTGCTGAATGTTACATAAGCTCAACCCCAGTTTCATTGTCTATAACATGGTGATAAAAATGCTATTACTTATGTCTCTCCTGACCAAGAGGTATTGGACTCTCAGTAGAGAATGAGACATATATTTTTGGACACAATGTGGGAATGTATTTTTTTTTGACTGTGTGTATTTATTGCAAGAGTTTTCTTTTTCTTTTCTTTTTTTTGTCAGTGGTGAATGATGAAGGCGAGTGTTAGGGTGGCCTCTCAAAAGGAGAAAAAAGAAAGAAAAGAGGGTCATGGAAGCACTTTTTTTAAATGTAGAGAAGAGAACAGAAGGAAGCACAAACAGAAGACCTTTGAAAGTTACATGTTAAAATTATGTGCTAAAAAAGGAAAAGCAAGCTGCAGGTGATAGAGATTCACAGTTTTATGTTCAATTCTCTTCTTGTTCTACTTTGCATATGGCAATGATCATTTTGTCTACGTACTTCAGAATAAAACAATTTTTATAATACTTCCACTACCTTGAGAGATTTTTGTGAGGAAAGTAAATGATGGTAACCAATGATGTTGTGGCTGGGATTCAAGCTCTATTATTATTAAATAATGAAATAATATTTGTGAAGCACTTAGCACTGTGTCTGGCACATAGCAGGTACTTTAAAAAATGCTTGTTTCCTTCCTTTCTTATTAAACACCTACCACTTACAACGCAATACAAGAACAGGGGCTATAAAGACAAAAATAAAATGGTCCCATCCCTCAAGGAGCTTACATTTTACCAGTGGGACATAGCACAAAAACAAATAAACATGTATGAAGTATGAGTGAGGTAAAGAAGAGCTCAAAGAGCTCTAGTCATTGGGCAGACAAGGGGAGAGATTACTTTCTGCTGAGGTGAAGGAAAGTTGGTGCCTGAGCTGAATCTTGAAGAAAGATAAGGATTCTGAAAGGCAGAGATAAAGGAGTCCATTCCAGAAGGAGGAACCCCTGTGAGGACATGGAGACAGGGAACGACATGTTGAATTTGGGGAAGAGCTAATAGTCCAACTTGACAAGAATGAGGAGTCTGTGATAGTGAATAATATGAAATAAGGCATAAAAGGGAAGTTGAGGACATACTGTAGGAAGCTGTAAGTATTAGGTTGAGGAGTTCTCATTTTATCCTAGAGGGAACAGGTAGCCAATGAGGGATCAACTAGATGATGTCTGCAATCCCTGCTAAATATGGGATTATTTGGACCATAAGATAGAACACAGCTCAACGTGTTTTAAAAGAGAATAGGTACTAGGTGACACCAAAAAAAAAAAAAAAATATATATATATGTATGTATATATATACACACACTTTTTTTTTAAATATATATAACACAGAGACTAGACCCATCATTTCACTGGCACAAATGCTTGCTGACTTGACTTGATTTGACTATAGAGAATTCCCAGAAAAGAAAGCTTCCTTTACTAATGTGGTTTATCATGTTCTCTGCAACATATAGTCTTAGAGATATAGTCTAAAGCACTTAGAGGTTAAGTGTCTTGCCTAGGGTCACACAACCAGTAAGTGCCAGAGTCAGGCTTAAACTCGAGTCCTCCTGGCCTTGAGGTTGGCTCTCTATCCATGATACCACCTTGTTTCTCAAAGTATATAAAGGATTCTGTAAAAGTACTTCTATCCCCATTTTGCCACAATGGTTTTAAAAACATCTCCCTAAACTCTATACTCAGAAAAACATATTAAAACATATTTAAATATGTTGAAAACATGCATACCCAAAGCTTCCATCATTATTTTACCATAAACAAAAATAGAATTAACAACTTTCCCAAAACAAAAACCATGAGATGACATATTTCTAATGGTGACTATAAATATTTAGTATGTTCTGTCACAGCCCCTTAAGAACATTTACATACTGCAGATTGAAGTTAATAATGAAAGTCATACCTATTAGCATTTCATACATAATCACTCCCAAAGACCACCAGTCACACAATTTGTTGTACCCAGTTTGCATGAATACTTCTGGAGCAATGTAATCTGGAGTTCCAACTGTGGAATATGCCTGAAAGAGAATACTTTGTCAAAGATATACTAATAATATTCTTTGAAAGTTCTATATATGGTTTGGAATAAGTATTATTTCAAATGAAAAGCATATATCAATTCTTTCAACCAACATCTACTTTTTAAAAGGCACTATATATTAGGGTACCTGGAACACAAAGATGAAAGACAATATGGTCTGGGCACTCAAAGAGAGGGAATAAAATATAAACAAAATAAACAGGATATAATGTAAAATGTGATAAGGGCTAAGGAGAAGCTCAAAGTACTCTTGGAAAATGTGAAGATAAAGGGATCATTTTTATCTGGGCTGAGAGGAAAGTGGAAATCAGGAAGAAGTGGAATCCAAACGGCCTTAGAAAAAAGAGGAAAAGATTTCAACAGTAAGAGAAGAGAAGGGAGTGTGATCCAAGAATGGGGCACAATCCATGAGAAAATGGAGTGTGCAGGAAGAGATCTGCAAACAGCTAGCAGTTTGGCTGGCACGTAGTGTGATGTTTAAAAAAAAATTATTTTAAATTTTAAAAAATGTTTGAAGTTGAATGTGATATATACTTGAAAACACAGGCTGGAGGTAAGTTACAGAGAATCTTAAATGATAGGCTAAGTCACTTGCATTTTATTCCAGAGGCAATAGGAAGACATGAAAAGTTTTGAGGGGTGAGTAATATAGTTAGGTTTGAGCATGAAGATTATTCTGGCATGTGTAAAGGATAGATCAGAGATGAAAAACAAGGGGGCAAAGAAACCATTTAGGATCCTACATGAATAGTTTAGGAGAGATAAAGAAGGCTTTAACTAGGGGGTTAGAATTACTAATAAAAAGGAATGGATAGATCCCAGAGATTCTGTGGGATCAATATCAATGACTTGGCAACTGATGAGAAGTTGAGGCTGAGCAGAGAAGAGTGAAGGTTGAGCTTGATGTTTTGAACGTAGGTGACTAGCAATATGGTATGTCAATAACAGAAATAAGTTGTTAGCAAGTTAAGGGTAAAGACAAGGAGTACTATTAGGAACCTGCACACAGAAACATCAAGCAGACAGTTGGAAATGAAGAACTGGTGCTCATAAGAGAGACTGGGGCCGGAAACATAGACTTGGAAATTGTCTGTACAGGAGTTCAGTCGCCAGTTCCTCATCCCTTTGGCTGTTTGCATTCTTCTTTTCAAATTTTCTTTTATTTGCACTCATCTGTGCACACGTTGTATCCCCTCTGTAGAACTGAAGCTTCTTGAAGACAGGAATTTTTTTCCTTTCTGTCTTTGTATCTCAGGTACGATGCCATGTGTATGAGTAGGGGCTTTAAAATGCTTGTTAAACTAAAGTGATTTTTTTGAGCCATTGGAGTAGAGAAAAAGTATAGAGAAAGGAAAAAAAGGGAAGACTGAAGACAAAGCCTTAGAGGACACACGTGCTTAGGAGGCAGAAGAAGAAAGATAAACTACAGAAGGAAATACAGGAGTGTTTGGCTAGGTCAGTGAATAATCAGTAGACAGTACATATATCAGTACAACTATAGACGGAGAAAATATTAAGAAAGAGAGTGGTCGACTGTATCAACCTCTGTCACAAAGTCAAAAAAGATGAATACGGTTAACAGAAATAGGGAAGTGAGGCTGGATTACAACTTTGGAGAATGGCTACTTTCAATAGGCCAAAGAGGACAAATCCTGGAAGTATGGGAAAGGAATGACCAGAGGCAGGATTTAAAATAGGTAAATTCAGTGTCATGGAAGCTAAAGGGGAAAAGAGTTTGAAGGATAGGGTAACAATGTTAATGATGCAGAGAGTTACATAAAAGGAAGGAAGGAAAATGGTAAAAGAAGGAAGTAAACAAACATTTATTCAGCATCTACTTTGAGTCAGGCATTGTACTAAACACTTTACAAATATTACATCATTGGATTGGAGGCAGGTGCTATCCCCATCTTATACTTAAGGAAACTGAGGCAAGCAGCAGGGCTCAGGGTCACACAGGTATTAATTCTTTGGGGCCACATTAGAACTCAGGTCTTCCAAATTTCAGGCCCAGTGCACTATTCACTGTGCTACCTAGCTGCCTTAAAATGATGACTGAAGTCACTGGATTTGTCAACAAAGAGGTTATTAGGACAGCATTTTATTATTAGAAGATATATTATGTATACATATATTATATATATACATATTATACATATTCTATACATAATAATTATTATAATATATAGTATTTAGAATTTTATTATTATAAAGTATTTTATTGATGAGAGTGGTGATAGCAGAAGCCAGATGCCTCAGGGTTCTGGAGTAAGGTTGTGTAGTATGGACAAAGAAGCAGTAAATATTGCCTATTCTTTCAAGTAATTATAAAGTGAAAGGAAGGGAAGAGATAAAATGTTTCCTCAAAAGCAAAATCAAAGGGAAGTATATATTTTTTTTCATTTTGGGGGGGTGGTGGTGGTTAGGCAATGAGGTTAAGTGACTTGCCCAGGGTCACACAGCTACTAAGTATTATGTGTCTGAGGCTGTATTTGAACTCAGGTCCTCCTGAATTCAGGGCCGGTACTCCATCAACTGTGCCACCTAGCTGCCCCGGGAAGTATATTTTTTATATGGGAGACATAACTGTATTTTTGGATAGAATAAAAATAGAGGGAGAAATGCAAGACAGAATCCCCCTACATGCTAATGACTTTAAAGTCCTACCCCCTCACCCTTCTTGCATTTCTTCCTCTACATAGGTTATTTTCATCCTACCTCAAAATACGTTCAGCTCTCCCATATAGTGTGTGTGTATGGATACATGCATATAACATATACACACATATACCTGTGTGTGTTTATACACCTCCCCTTCATTTGGCTAAGCCCTTTAAGGCACCATTTTATCTCTTTCTTCTTTTCATTAACTACTTGATAGATTGATATACTTGTGTCCTAAGAGAATGGGGGTGGGATAGGAGTTTATAGGATTAAAAATATAAGTGGAGTTATTTCTGTGGCAAATTCTGCTTTTAAATTGGACATGATCCAATGTACTTTATTACTGCTTATTGGAAAATAAACAGGAAGTTTCAATGTCAGTCACAGAAACTATTAGAAATGTATATGCTTTCAAATCCAACCTCAGACACTTGACACTTACTAGCTGTGGGACCCTGGGCAAAGTCACTTAACCCCAATCGTCTCACGAAAAAGAAAAAAAAAAAGAAATGTATATGCGTAATTAATCATGACCCTGACTCCAAGATGGCTTATGAATCTTGTACAAGTATAGCATGGAAAAATGAAATTCAAAGACAAGTTAAAACATTTTTGTCAAAAGCAAATACTATGATATTAATTCAGAGACTTCAATACAAAAGTGGAAATAGGTGGGGATAGTGAAAAATGTTGGAAATTATGGATCCGGAATGAGGAAAAGAACACTTGAAAACCAATTTATCTATCAGAAACAATTTACTTAAAAGAACTAGAAGACATTGGAAATGGTAAGGACCAAAGAATATCATGAAAATGAATGAGACTTAGATTTTAATAAAGAGAAATGATTGGTCACAGATATAAGAGTCATTCCTGAATCAGAGGTCTGTGTATAGTTAGACTAGTAACTTGTTAGGAGTGTAAATCAAAAGTAGTACAAAATTTGAAGATGAATTAAAATGAGTAAAGAATATGGCATGCAATAAAAAAAAAACTGCACCTGACAGCTAAATTAAGTGACTGGTGACAAATTGATATAAAGATAGAAGCTATGATGGATTATAATGAGTATAATAAATAATATTATAAAAATAATTATAATAAAACTGTAATAATTTCATACAAAATTTCAATGGTGTAAGATGCAATGACTGTTTAACAAGAGCAAGGGATAACCTCTGGGAAGCTTGTCTGCTCCACTAGCATACTTGAAACGTCAAAAGAAATATAGGAAGACCCCTCAGACCACTGGATGGACCCTAAGCTTTCTTATTATGGGAGGCCATAGACAATAGCTGCCAAGGATGATGGATGTACATGGAGGGATTTTGGGAAAAGCCACATCAATGACAGCACAAATCCACTAGAGCCAAAAGCATTAAATTCCTCTATCAAGTCTTTTGCCCAAATTAATGATAAATGACTAAAATGACAGGACATTAAACTACTCACACATAGGAGGTGCTTAGTATGTTCTGAAGGAACAGAGCTGGTTTTTGAACTCTAGTGAAGATGCTAATGAAATTACCAAGTTGCAAACAGTAGGAAGAAGAGGAGGACATTCTTAGAATTACTAAGCATTAATTGTGAATTAGATAGCATAACAATATTTTTGCTCTATACTTGTGATTTCATCAGGATTATGGAGTACCTACCATGGTAGGTGCTGGGGATGTTATAAGAGACAAAAGAGTCCCTGCCTTCATGGAGCTTACAACCTAATGGGGGAGACAACATGCAAATTACATACATACACACACACACGTATGTATGCATTTTTGTATGTATATACACATACACATATACATATATACAAAGCAAGCTAGATACAGGATAAAAAGGAGATAATAACAGAGCAAAGGCACTGGAATTAAGAGGGGTTGGAGAAAGGTTCCTGGAGAAAGTGGGATTTTAGTTGCGACTTAAAGGAAGTCAGGGAGCAGAAGAGGACTCCTAATATAGAGACAACTTCCACTGACATTGATAAGCAGCTCATTGGTAACTTGTAGTCTTTTTTTTTTTTCCTGAGGCAATTGGGGTTAAGTGACTTGCCCAGAGTCACACCGCTAGTGAGTGTTATGTGTCTGAGGCTGGATTTGAACTCAGGTATTCCTGACTCCAGAGCCAGTGCTCTATCCACTGCGCCACCTAGCTGCCCCGTAACTTGCAGTCTTAAAAGAACTGCCTGTGACCCTGAGTGATTAAATGACTTGACCCACAAATAATATATTAGAAGCAGGACTTGAAATCAGCTTTTCCAGATGCCAAGGCTTGAAGTTCTTTATAGACTCCGCCCACCCCACCTCCATGCTACATCTCTCCATTACTATCTTATATGCAAAGAAACTGTACAATGAACTTAGTCTCTCTGTGCAAGATTATAGAAGAAGTTCTTTCTCAGTTATGTACTTCAGTACTTCACAGATGTGTTTCAATAGTGGGGAAATTCTTCCTAGGGATGCCAATTGCAAACCTCTTTCTGTTTTAGGAGACATGGTAATTCAAGAATTTCTGTGACTGAAAAAAATCATCACCAGATTTTGATGGAATGTCTGCCTTTCATTGTTATTCATTAGTTCTCAGTTGTGTCCAACTCTTTGTGACCTCATTTAGGGTTTTCTTGGCAAAGATACTGGACTGATTTGCCATTTCCTTCTCCTGCTCATTTTACAGTTGAGGAAACTGAGGGAAACAGGGGTAAATGACTTGCCCAGGGCAGTGCCACATAACTAATAAGAGTCACATTTGAACTCATGTCCTCCTGACTCCAGGGCTAGAACTCTATCCTGAGCCACCTGGCTTCCCCTGTGTCTGCCTAGTCAGGTATGGGGAACCTGTGGCCTTGAGGCCACATGTGGACCTCTAGGTCCTCAAGTGTGGCCCTTTACCAAACTTCAGATTCCATCAAAGGGCCACACTTGAGGACCTAGAGGGCCACATGTGGCCTCAAGGCTGCAAGTTCCCCACCCCTGGGCCCTAGATCATGCTAAAAACAAACAAACAAAGAAAAATGACAAAAACCAAACCAAAAAAACCCCACATAGCATAATTTCCATTAGTGCCACTACATATGACAGTCAGACTAAAACCAGTCTGATAGCATGCAGGTCCTGTCTTGACAACTACTCACCAACTGTCGCCTATTTTTCTTCCACGTTTCTGCTTTTCTTTTTGAGTTCATGTTCTGAAATGCTAATTTCGACAAAACAAGGGTTGAGAGACAGTGAAAAAGACTGGGCAGAAAAACTGAATACAAAGCTTTGACTTGGCAATTTCATGCCAATAATATAAACTTTTACGACTCAAAGCAATTTCATCTTGAAAAGCAACTTAACACCGTACAACAATCAAGTCTCTGAAAATAATGCACTGAGCTCAATTACTAGAAAACTATGAAACTTACAGAAATCACTTGGTGGGTTATGTGTGAGGTTCCTATAAAATTCAGTCCTATGAGCTTTCTTTAATCCTGTGCATAGGCCAAAATCAGATAACTTTACATGACCCTGAAAAAAAAAAAAGGTCTGGTCAGTCTCAGTACATTTTGAGATTGATTTGTTTTATTAGATTTAATTTGGAAATATGCCTTGTAAAGTATCTAGTTTAAGATGAATATACATGAAGATATTAAGTACTGTGTGATGATCTGAAAGAGTAGAGTACTCTATATTAAAATATATTCATTCATTTGCAACAGGGGTCTATAAATTAAGGAAGAAAGCCAAAATGGCCTGTGCACAGCCGGGGAGCTAAGAATGGCTTTAAACATTTTAAATACAATAAAACTTTATTTAAAAATGTAAAAACCATTCTTAGCTTTAAAGACTGACAAAAAACAGGCTACTGACAGGATCTGGATTTCACCCAAGTTATAATTTGCTGATCCCTGCTTTATAAGGTTGCTAGATATTAAAACATATTTACATTGTCATATTTAGATCCTTGATGCCATATCACTCAGATTCTCTATTCCATGTGCCTCATTCTGTGAAATAAAGTGGTTTATTCTCAATGAAAATTCAATCTCCCATTTCCATTTGGAAAAATCTGTAGTTAATGGTAACAAAACAAGAAAAATAGTAAACAAAGGGGTGAAGAGAGTGCCTTTGGAAGACAGGCATACTAATGCACTGTTGACAGAACTGTGAAGTGAGCCAAATATTCTGGAAAACAAATCAGAATTAAATTTGCCAAAAGTTACTAACATGTATATACTGTGACACTTCAATATACCATTACTAGGCACGTACCCCAACGATGTCAAAGACAAAGGGGAAGGTCTGATACATAAAGAAATATATACTGCACTTTTTTGGTAGCAAAGAAGTGAAAGAAAAGTAAGTGCCCATCAGTTGCGGAATGGTTAAAAAATTGTAGCACATGAATATAATGCAATATTACTGTGTCATGGGGCAGTAGATGAGAGTGCTAAGTTGGGAGTCAGGAACACTTGAGTTCAAATCCAGTCTCACACACTTACTAGCTATGTGACCCTGGGCACTTAATCTCCGTCTGCCTCACTTTCCTCAACTGTAAAAATGGGGATCAAAATAGCACCTTCCTCATAGAGTTATGGGACTAAAAATGAGATATCTGTAATGCTCTTAACACAGTGCCTGGTACATAGTAGGCACTAATAAATGCATGTTCCCTCCCCTTCTTCATAAGAAATTGTAAATACGAAGAATTTAAAGAAATTTGGAAAATCTTGAAATCTTCCTAAAGAGCAAAGTAAGCAGAACCAGAAGAACAATGTAAACAGTGACCATAGCAATGTGAAGGAAAAACAACTTCAGAATTCTGATCAATGCAGTGACCAATCATAACTTTAGAAGACTGTTAGTGAAGTCAGCCTCCTACCCCTTGGCAGAGAGGTGGTAGACTAGAGGTGTGGAACAAGGCATACATTTTCAGACGTAGCCAATATGTTGATCTCTTTTGCTTGACTACACTTATTCTTTACAAGGAAGAGTGCTACAGGGTACAGTTGTAGGTGGGGTTGAAAGTCATTGGAAAGTGACAATGAAATATAAAAAAGAAAAGACCATTATTATCAATAAAAACATTAAGGGGGAAAAAACCAACAGCTCCATTTCTTTACCAAATAATAACCAGCAGGTTAAGAGCTTATCAGTTCATTCACATGCCTTGGCATCCAATAAGAGGTTGTCTGGTTTGATATCTCGGTGAATGAACCCCAACTGGTGAATTGCATCGATAGCCAGAACAGTCTCTGAAATATAGAACTGGGTTTCTTCTTCTGTCAAGGTATCTTTCTTCATTAGTAATGTCATCATGTCTCCTGAATGGTGGAAATTAAGAGGCATGTTATATGAAATGCCTCAAAAAGGGAATTAATTGTACCTAGAGAGTATCCTCCAAGGCCCCTTACAGCTCTAAGCCTACGATTCTACCATCCTGCGGTCCTCTTTGTGCAATTTCTGTAGGGTTCTGTAGTCAATGTTGACCCCATATATCTTCAACAACATCTGGGGAGAAGGGGTGTTTATACTGTAGCTGTTTGTTCCTAGAAACCCACCACTTTGGAGCTTCAATGACTATTTGAACTCAAGCTGACACTAGATTCAGGGACCCGGCCAGAGACAAAAGGCTAAACTGAGTTAAGCTACAGAGGACCAGTCAGGGCTCTTAGTTCTTCAGACATCAACAGGCAGGAAAACCCCAGCATTACTTCTTGAACGAACTCTTCATTCAGACCTCAAATTCTCCAACACAACTCTAGATCAAGGTAGAAATGGACAATAGAATCAATGATGCTATTTCCTATCTTCCCCTGGGGCTATCTGTAGCTTTCTACCTCAAAGGTAGACTGGAAGCAAAAGCTGGAGAAAGAAATCTATTTTCTGGGAGCTCTATATCCCTGTCCTTATCTCTCACTCTCTGTGCTTTGTAACAATGCTTTCTCCTCTCTGAAGCCCCAACTGAGTAGCTGCCTCTTTCCTTTCCTTTGGCTGCTGCTCAAATCTCCATCTCTAGGAGTCCCACTTTTTCTTTACCTCCTTGCCTTTCTTGATAACTTTCTTGGGTTACTTGTTTCAAATTTCCTTTCACTTTCCCATTATCTATTACTTGGGTACAAAGACCCCCATAGCCGAGGTTTTCCAGGACTGTCCTAATTTCAAATAATCTATATACACACTAACTAAAAGAAAAGAAAAGAAAATCTTTAAGAAAACAATGTGATTTTACCATGCCATGCCATCAAATTATCATCCACATCTGACTTACACTCTTACAAAGAATGAACTATGCTCTGTCTCTACTTCCTCACAATCCACCGACCATTCAATCTGGCTTCTGACCCTATAACTCTACAGTAAAATACACATTCCTTGACAGCATGGACTATTTAATTTTTGTTTTTGTATGCCCAGCATGTAGCAGAGTGCTTTGCATGTTATAGGATAAATGTGTGTTGAATTAAATCGATTTCACAAACTTCCATCATTAAGCTGTTCTTGGAATTCTGCATTACATCTCCTGCTCCCATGCCCCAGATCTATTTCTTTATGATTATTTTAGAATCTTTAAATTCAAGGTTCAGTGTAGGAATTATCTCTGTGAAGCCTCCTCTAATCTCTTCAACTCAAAGTGTCCTCTCCTTCCTCAAATATACCTAGAACACATTACCTGGATTTCTCCTCTTTTCTTCCTCCCTTATAGGGATGTATCTATGTGTACCATCTGGTATCCACTTGGTTTCTCCAAAAGAATGCAAGCTACTCTACACCAGGAATTTTTATGCTTTTATTGTTTGTTTCCCTAACTCCTAGCACAGTGCCTTGAAAATAATAATGCTTAATAAATATTTGTTGAATTAAATTTGTTATAAAAATTGTTAGAGCTTGTATTCCAATTTTTGTTATCTTGGGCCTCTCCTAGAGAGAATTTGGATGGAAACCCAAAAATAAAATTAATAAACATTTATTAAGTACCTACTATATTCAAAGGATTCTCTTAGAAAGAAAAAGACAAAAATAACAATCACTGCCCCTCAAAATGTTTATATTCCTCCAGAGAATATTATATTCTACTAGGAAGAAGAAAAATCTTAAATGCCTCTATTTGTATTTTTTTAAAGCCTCTGTAATAGTCTCTTCTTTCAGTGAACCTTACACGAAGATAAAACTGGTTTTTGTTCTCTCTGTTACATTCTGGCAGGATAAACAACCGACTGAGCTATGGACAAGGCCCTCTTGCTGGTCTCATAGAAGAATACGGTTAAGGAAGAAAATAATCCTGATTCTTAGAGAACTATCTTTTTATGTTTCACTTAAGACTAAAATAAAAAGTCAGGTTTGAGAGATATAAAGAGGGAATTAACTCTTCTGAAATTTATTCTCTTTTGTAAGTAGGTAAAAGATGCTCTGAGATTTAATAGAATGTTTTCCTTTTATATAGCCTTATTTTACCATGTAGCCACAATTGGCAGGCATTAAAATTTTTTTTTAAATTTTACTGTAAAGGTTCCACTAAATTTTGTCTAAAGTGAAGAGCCTACAACTGAAAAAAAAGTTTGAGAACCACTCTCCTAGAATATTTTCATGGTCAAGGAATCTGAATTATCATCATTGAATAGAAATGATATTCATTGAAACAATTCTCTCCACCTCAAACTAAAAATGATTCTAGGACATAAAACAGGTCCCTGATTCATTAATTCTGTAGACTAATAACTAAAAGCATACAATCCAACCTCTACACAAATAAATATTGCACTTTTTGTCATCATACATAAAAATGACATGTTTGCATCAGTTTGTCACTGCTCTCATGTTTGTGTTTACCTCCAGGGAGAAATTCCATGATTAGATAAAGATTCCTTTTATCTTGAAAACTATAAAACATCTTCACAACCCAGGCACCATCTGCTTCTACTAATATATCTCTCTCTGCTCGGATATGGGCCACCTATATTTAAAGAGTAAATGCAACACACATTAATGTATAATTTTGATAAATTGGTGACTCAGTGCCTCTCCTTCACTAATGAAGGAGATCTAGGATGAAAAGAAAAAAAACTAGTGATCTCTTTAAAATATCACCTTTGAAAATAGTATATTATTACTCAGTTTATTTAAAACTTAAAAAAAAAACCAAACAGGAAAAAAGAAAAAAAACCACAAGAATCAGATGAATAATTCTTAACTGGGACCTTATTTCCTGGCACCACATAAGTGAATTTACTTACCAAAACTATAAAGCAAATATGAGAATTTTTACTTCTAAGCCTTTGAAAAAGTATTTTAAGACAATTAAGGAAAAATGGTAAACTTTTTGAATGCATCGGGTATTGGCTCAGGAAATTAGTTTATTAGTGTGAATAAAAATGTCTTGATTACTCATGAATATCTCAAAGCCAACTTAGAAGTCAGGTTCCCCAAAAGGGATCCAAAAGGTGAGGAGCATAAGAGTAGCAGAGGAAAGATCAAAGTATGGTATTTTGCTTAACTGGTTGTAGTGGCAAACACTACTGTTGCCTGGATACAACTGGAACACTTGACAAAATAGAAATGTGTGCGCTCTGTGTGTGTGTGTGTGTGTGTGTGTGTTCACCCCTAAACCTTTCTTTTCATCAGTGTAGAGAAGAAACTCCTTCTACCAATCCAGATCAGTAACTGGTTTGCAACTTAAGGTAATATGAACTCTAGAAAACTTGGAGATGGCACAGGAACACAAGCAAAGTCATCAAAGATATGAGGAAATGGGACTTATTCTTTGTGACTCCATTTGGGGTTTTCTTGGCAAAGCTACTGGAGTGATTTGCCATTTCCTTCTCCAGCTCATTTTACAGATGAGGAAACTGAGGCAGACAGGGTTAAATGACTTGCCCAGGGTTACACAGTTAATAAGGCTCTAAGGCTGGATTGGAACTCATGAAGATGAGTCTTCCTGATTCCAAGCCGAGAACTCTATCCACTGCACCACCTAGATGCCCTATATCTTGTAGTAGCAAGTAAGTATTTAGGACAGACTCAATACCTAATGATAAGTTTAGGCAACAATTGACCAGATTACCAAAACAGAGTAATCTGTTATTCTGAGGTTCCAATTTCATTTTCCTCATATGCTTTAATTAAAATCAATTAATAGTTAACTTATAGTTCTGGCTTTGCTACCAACCACTTATATGACTTTGGGCATGTCATTTAACTTTCCCAGGCCTAATTTCTTCATCATAAAATGGGGAAATGGCATTAAATGATTTACAGCTCTAAAGGTTTGTGAGTCTATTTTTAATTCTTCATTCTAAACTCTTCAATCACCCTTTTTCAGAACCTGAAATTTATTTCGACCTAATCAACACATAATGAGTACTTTCAGACGGGTATAAATGTTACATAATACATACCTGTTCTTTTTCAAGCATATCAGCCTTTCTCAATATCTTCATTGCATAGATATGGCCTGTGTCTTTCTTCTGGACAAGGCGTACCTAGAAATAAAAAGGTATGTTACTATTTTTTTCTGGATAAAATAATGAAATTTACTCTTTAGAAAGCAAAGTAGAGTTTAATTAAATAACAGGCATTTACAACGATAAATTACTACTATATACCACCAAAACATTATCTATCCACACGGGAAACACATGACTATTAATTTTATTCAAGAGCAAACCAGAAAAAAATACATTCTATGAAAGCCATCAATAATACCAATAAAAATTATTTTCAGTTTTATCGAGATAGGTGGCTTCGGTGTGTGTGTGTATGACATTATTATGACTACGTCAATATGTCAATTACTTGTGATTTCATAGGCATCTCCATCTACTGAGATCTCAAACCCTCTATAACTTAGTCTTAGAGGCTTGAGGCTCAGAGTTTCAATGTCTCAGAGTTTCAATGTCTTCCTCATGTTCACACAACTATTTAAGTGTCAGAGGTGGGATTTGAACACATCTTTCTGCCTCTAGTTTAGCACTCTATTAGGTCACACATTTCCTGAAAGGTTATGTTAGTACTAGGTAGTCAAATCCAACTTCAGAATCAGGAACCTCTAAATTTGGGTCCTTACTCTGATTTGTACTGCCTATGTGACCATGGACAATTTAAGTGGTCCCTCCCCAAGCAACTCTCTGAGATTATTATATTATATTCCAGGCAAGGAAGGTGCTGATATCCACTGAAAGAAGTTCCTCTCTGGAAGATCCCTATACCAAAAAACCCACAGATCTAATACAAAAATACATATATGTGCGTATAGATATACAGATATCAGATCTATCTTCCCCTAGGAGATATCTCCTAGGAACACAAGCTAAGAGACATGCTCATTTGGAAAAGATAACCTTTCTGAAATGGAAGCAACATTGTTTTCTACTATAATTTCCTAGAATACCCCCCAAATTTCAGAAATTGTTTTAAAACTCTTAACATGGTAAAATGCATTATAGTACTGCAAAGAAGTAACATTTAAAATTTCAGAAAATCTGTCTTTTAATACAATACTTTTTACTTCCCAAATTAAAAAAGATTTAATACATGATATTAGATTAATAAATATACCAAAAGACAAATCAGGGGCTCAGGAGAAAAGATGGGTTGAATTATCAAGACAGGACTTAAGGAAAGACATGAACCTCTCCAAAGGCTCCTCTCCCTATAACTTTCAGGGATTCAAAGTCATCCAAACCAAGCCTTGTCCTCTTGAGTCGGAGAAATTCAGTTTCTTTGCGAGCATGCTGTGATCGACGTAATTTTTTCTACAGGGAAAAAAAAAGAATGATAAATTACAAGATTGATTTATTTTAAAAGTTGTTCTTATAAAGGTCTGCAGCATAAATTTAGAAATAAAGGTTCTATGAAGCATAAGAACTTTTGTTTATAATAAAACATTTATAGAACTTTTATTTATAATAACTAGATTATTATACTGGCTTGCCACTTACTATACTATGCGATTTTGGCAACCAAATTAACTTCTTGAGGCCCAAGTGTCTTTATCTATAAAAGACTGGGCTGAAGTAATTTATCTCCAAGGTCCCCCCCTTCTAGCTCTAAAATCCTATGAGCCTATGTGTCCTTTCTTCACTCAGTGTAAAAATCGATAGGGCAGAAAAGTTTAAGAAGCTTCTGACATTTATGTCTCCTTTCCACCCAACACTACACCACCACCACCACCACCAACACTTTTTCTGCACTCCTGGTGCAAAATAAGACTCAGTACAAATTTATGGTCTGTAACATCAACAACTCTTCTAGCCTACTCTTACTGACTCCATCTCATTTGTCAAGCCATTGTTTTGAATCTTTCAGTTTTTCCTAAAGCTCCCAGGCACACCTCAATAGCTACCTCCCCAGTTATTGCAGGATAACTTAGCCTCCTCTTTCATGTAAAGATTGAGACCTTCCTCAGAGACTTCCCAACTTCCTCCTTCCATTTCTCTAAGCTCTTCAATGTCATCTACCACTGTCTCCTCCTTAGCCCTGGTTACAAAAAAAAGCTATAATAACATAACCCTTTATCATAAATTAACCAGTGTATTATACAATATAAAACTGACAATACCATAAATTTACAATAACTTTGTAATGTTTACAAAGTTACTCACTTTTCAGTTTAAAAGAAGAAAACAAGATAATCATACCTTGCAAACCTTTAAAAAAAAATTTTACCATCTTTCACTTATATTCACTCTATGCCCTGTCACATAGATGACACATCACACTAGGGCTCGAACATTTGGAATATTGGTGTTAACTTTCCTTCTTCCTTACCTCTTATATCTAATACATCTCCAAGATTTTTAGATGCTGACCTCTCTATACTTCTCTCTGCTGATAAGCACACGAGAACAGATCCCCTCATCATCACTTGCCTGGACTATTGCCATCACCTCCTAACAAGTTTTCCCTTATCTACTCCTTGAATACCAATCTTTTGTTTCATCTTGTAGAACTAATTAAACTTCTTCATGTGTAGATCTAGTCATGCTCTTCATTCTGCTCAAACATCTTCAGTGTTCCCTATTGCTTACAGAGTAAAATTCAAACTACTCTGATTGTCAATCAGGGCCCTCTGTAATCTGATGCCACTCGACCTTCCAAGCCTTGTTTTAATCCTTTAATGTTGTGATTTCACATACCGATGACAAAATTACATAGAATTCTTAACAATTAAAAAAGACTTTGTTCAGTGACCCTTTGATTATTAATATTAACAGGCATAAAACAGTTAGACATATGTCTGCCACCATCACTGAGTCTGTATAATGTAGAATCTAAATCAAATCAGAATTTCCTATAGATGGTGAAGTCCTTTGGATGCTTACACCAAGCCCTGTAATATTACACAGCAACCTATATGAAATTCATTCAAAAGAGTTCATCTGACTCTACCCAGGAAAAACCAAGTAGATGAAGACTATGGCAAGCAATGAAACAGACAACCCAGCGTTTGTCCACCAGTCCAAACATCTGTCATAGAAAGACAATGCAAGTTGACAATGAATTAGACCTGTAACGGAAGAAAAGGGAGACAACAGACTGATTGCTTATGGAAATATGTAGTTATTTAAATCAACCCAAAAGGAAAATATAAATTTCAAAAGATACTTAGATTTCTCTCAGCCTGGTATAATGCTGACTTGTCAAACTCAAACACAAACAGGGGCCTATGTATATATGGATCCCTGCATACTGACTCAGAAAACCACACAGTAACATAATCTAGGTTCTACTGTACATTTATTTGTTAATTATTTCCTAATTCTATGATACTCTAGTTCAGGACCCACTGGGAGTGTTGCTGCACATCTCTAGCATTGTGGATGGAGGACTTGACTCTACGTTCATACTCTCACAAGCTGTGTGACCCTTGGAAAGTTTCCTAAATTTCCCACAGCCTCAGTTTCCTTACCTGAAAAGTAGGTAATAACAGGATCTGCCATACAAGGTCGTTGTGAGGAGCACATGAGATAATAAATGCTAACACTCTGCAAACCTTAAATTGCTATATAAATGTTAGCTATTATCATTAACCATTATTATTCTGGTCTGGTCAGAGAGAAAAGGTCAAGGGAATTCACTAACAGTTATGAGGTATGGGAGACTTGGACATGTAATTCTATAAAAAAAATTTTATATGCATGGATGCAGGAAAAGCCTTAAGCTTAATTCTTAATAATTTTAACTTTTAATAATTTAATGCTGAAAGCATTAAAATTTTTTGTGGAGAATGCTAAAACTATATGAACATAATACTTCAGATCTAGCCTAACCAGCAGTTTTATAAAAAAAGAAATATCAGCACACTAAAACACAAACCAATAATATATTATCTTGAAACTTCAATTATTCACAGACTCCTTTAAACAGAAGTGCTTCCAATTCCTTCTCCAATAGATGAGTCTCCACTGCAGCCTGACATATCCATTACATGAATTGAAGGACTAGGACATTTCTGAATTATGTATATTTTGATTTTAATTTATTAACTGACAGCATGCTGTCATCAATTTGAATTCTCTTCAGGAAATTTATTCCATTCAACTTCCTAAAGTGTCCAATATGTTCTACTAAGGATTCTATTACTAAAAATCCTAGTACTAAAATCAATTGATAACAACATTACCAGAGAAATCTGTGGTAATCAGAACTTAATAACATGGTTGGTAATTGTACCACAGCTCCCTTACTTGAAAATTCATTCAATAAATATTTATTGAGCATATTCTATATATTACAAAGTAACATGGTGGAAATGAGCATGAATAAGACATTGTCCCTAAGCTTTACAATATGGCATAATAAACACCGTCAAAAAATTTAAACTAATGAAATAAATGTCAAAATCATTTACCGAATCAAGGATTTCAGAATGTACTCACTAGAGTCCAATGTATCTTGCTAGATTTAGATACAAATAATCTAAGAAGCTTATGGTAAAAAATGACTTGTGTTCTAAATTCAATTGTAGTTTAGCCCAGCTAAATTAAGTCACTCATTCAAACATCAAAGGATAAAACTGCATGATTTATAAAATAATTTAAATGCTTGACAGTGAGTGATGATAAAAACCAAGTATCAAAATGGAGCAATCTTTGTTCCTACTCCATATCTTCCCTCACTGACCATACTTTGATACTGACCATAAAGCAAAGTACGAGTAAGTACATTGCCAAGAAAAATAATTAAGGAAATTTAAAAGTTTGGATCTGGCATAAAAGTCAGCTAGTAACATAAACAAGTACTACCGAATTTGGCATTCCATTCATGTCAGACACATTCTAGTAGTTTGGGTTAACTTCAAAAACTGATTTGTTTGTAAACAGCAAACAATGCTGACTCTACAAATGGCTTCTCACTAAACCTCGTTATCCTTTTCACTATATCAATAAACCACAAGGTGGCATCATAGATCCATTTGCTTTAAATACTTTGCATTTTTAAAAAAATACGGAAATGAATCAATGCAAGGATTATTTGAAGCATCTGGGTTTCTGCCTCTAATACTATAAAATTAATGTAATTGGGTGTAGTTGTGAAAACTTGCACTGCTTTAATGAGAATGGAAAAAAAGACTTCAACTATTTCTTAAAACTAAACTCCACCCACCCCCAAAAAAGGAAGAGAGAAAAGAAAACAGCAACATTACTCATCTGATGTCTTATACTACATTCCACAACAAATAACTCATGTGTTTTAGCAGAGATATTTAATGTACAGATCATCATTCAAAAAATACAAAATAATAAATGTAACATTTAAAGTCACACTGCTTATATACTGTCAATTAAATTACTCAATAAAAGTAAAATCACATGCTCAAAATCAGCCTCACAAATTATGTGCCTATAGCAAATTATGTGCATTTAAAAAAACCCTAGGAATAATGAATATGTATTTATTTGCTTACTATTTGTATCAGATTAAATATTCAGGAAAAGCTAGCTTAAGTATTTTTGTGGCCTACACAAGGAACAAGATAATTAAAATTAGTAGATATTACACCCAGTCCCTCTTGCTCCATCTTTTCCAGTTTGAACAAGTAGTCTTTAAAAATCCCTACTATTAACATTCCATATGAGTGAAGCATATTATATGTGTGGTTAGGTTTTCCTAAAATAGAGCAAGGAATTTATGGTTTTCTTTGGTTTCACAAAGGCTTGTAAGTGTATATACATATCATAAATAAATACATCATGGAAATACACACAAACATGCATGCTGGAATAGATTTAAAGTAATTTTAAATTAGAAAATCAGATTAAATAATTGTCTAAAATGCATTTTAATGTTTTAAATTAAAGCATAAATGTCTACAAATATAACCTGAATATTCATAGTATTAAATCAATGTCATTCATGTAATTTTTTTAAAAAAGCGTTATAAAATCAAGATACAACAGGTCTGTGACAAATATCACCAAAGGAGATTGGATTAAAAGCCAGATAACCTGGGTACTGGTTCTACTTTGGTGATAATTAGCTGTATGATCTTGTATAACTCACTTAACCTTCTGGGTTCTTGTTTTCTAACTTTGGCTACATGATTTCAAATTTCCCTCCAACTCTAAAACTCTGGAATGTAAAGAGATGAAATTTCTCCAGTAGATTATTATTTAGAAGGGCAACTAAAAAATATTGTAACCAATGGTAGCAAATAATCATTCAAAGAGATCTTATTATATGCAGAGATACTTTGCATCAGCTTCCAAACTGTAGATTTTTTTAACATGTAGAGAAGCTTTTACTAGCAATAAGCAGAAACGAAAGCATGGGCTTCATTAATCTTACTTTCTTTCTAAGTGCTTTCTTACAGCACTAAGCCTTTCCAAAATGTCAAGACTACAAATAATTATAGTCATAAAATAAAATGAGTTTTGAAGATCTATCATAGTTAGACATTGCTCTGATACTAATTTATATTGAACTCGAGGTTCTTAAAGAAGATCAAATTTTGGCATATCTTACCAAGTTAGAAAGACATCTAACTTGAGTCCAGGACACTGAGTTATGGACATTGAGTCTATCCTCTGAGGACCAGTCTATGTATCTTCTAAGAGGTCTGTTAATATCAGGTAACAAATTTTGGGGTTTCTGGCAATTCATTAAACTGTCTGATTTTGAAGGGTTGAAATCTGTATTGATAAAAAGGGGACACCCAAATTGATGAACTCATAAATTCCCTAAGTAAATCAAAGAAAAAAAGTAATTTTCGGGGGGGGGGGTTGGAAAAAAAAGTTTCCCTGATTGGCTATGTAAATCAATTTTATTAAACAAATAGACCCATTTCTATTTTAAATGAAACAAACTGCTTTTGTATATGTATATGTTAAAACTATAAAATATTTAGGGAGGTATAATCTCATTTACAAAAGAACAAATTAGGTAATGTCTGAGTCTTCCTTTTGGTGACTACTGCTAAAAATGGTGGTGGAAAATTATGTAAGTAGTTATCTGACTTTTTTCCTCTTCTTTAACAGATTTCTGACTAGAAGTGATGAAATATAAGGTTTATATGTCAAGTGATGATATTCTAAACTATGCACTCATCTGGAAGTATAAAAACCATGAGATATATCAGCAAACCAGAAAACTACCTTACCTCTTCATCTGCCAATCCTTCTTCTTCCATTGCTACCTCTAACTTCTTTTGCCTGTACAAAGAAAAAGAAAATGTTTATTTTTAGTAGGCCTTTGACTCCTGGCTGACAATTATAATAAGCTCCTCCACATTTACTACTTTAGTTATCTAAAACAAGAAACAGAGTCTTAGAAGTCATCAGACCATTGTCACAGGCATACACAGTGTACCAAGTCTTAAATTCCTATGAAATACAGGGATACACCGTATTTTAGACCTCTTCCTGAATTATGAAATGCTACAAGGATAATAATGAGCTGATTGGCCACGGGGATTGCAATATTCACATGGGATTTTTAGATTGTTTTCACAAATAATATGCAGGAGGGAAAACTAATTAAGCTTAGCAAGCAAACATAAGTCTTGCTCAAAATGTCAATGAAATAATTCAAGCAAAGGACAAAGTCTCTTGGATAGATAATATCTAAAATTGTATTTAATTCACTTTTCCAATAAGAGGGGTGGTGGTCTATTATAAATCTAAGCCAGGACTGGATCAGAGGGTGAAAATAATAGGTTCTATCAGACAGATCACTATTATATGGTGTATGTTGAAAGGAAGGAAAGCAATGAACATTTGTTAGGTTCTCTTTATGTGTCGGGCACTACACTAAGTTCTTTACAAATATTACCTCATTTAATCTTCACATCAACCCTGAGAAATAACTTATTATTATCTCCATTTTACAGTTGAGGAAACTGAGGCAGACTGAGGTTAAGTAATTTGTCCAGGGTTACACAGCTGGTAAATGTCTGAAACTGGATTTGAACTCAAGTAATCCCGACTACAGGCCCAGCTCTTTACAGAATGCACCACCAGCAGCATCTACACACATTACTGGGCCACTAAGGTTGTTCCAGGCCTTATGGCCAGGATGGCTATCTAACAGAGGCAAGCAGCCCAGCTCTCACCTACCTACTGAAGATTTGAATTTGCTCTGAAACAAATGATTATAAAGATCCAAAGAGAAACTATAGAAAATGGCTTCTTCAACTCCAGAAATTCATTAAAAAGTTATCCAGAAGCACATTTGGCAGTAGGAAAGGGGGCCACCAGCAAAGCCAGGGACAGCACAGGCAAACAAGCCTAACCTGAGACAAGCCAGAGATACATGTCACCTTCAGGGCTTTGTATCTAGAAACAACAAAAGCCAAGGGCTCCCCCTTCTCACTCCCAACCACTACAGAGCAGCACTGCTCAGACCAGGATAGCCCAAGGACTCAGGTGTTTAGCATTCTACCCCAAGCTTCCAAAGAAGGACTTGAATATCCAACACTCTGAATCTAAAAGATCCTTGGAGACCTAATCATAGAATGTCATAGCCAAAATCCAGAGATCCCAAAACAAAGAAATAATACAAGCAGCAATAAGAAAGAAGCAGTTCAAGAACCAAAGACACACAGTTAGGACCACAGAAGACCTGGTAGCTTCTACCATTACCAAGAGAAGATTCTGTTACACAATATTCCCAAAGGCAAAAGATACAGGCTTACAACCAAAAATAACTTACTCGGTAAAACTGAATATAATCCTACAGGGGAAAAAAATGGATCTTTGATGGAATTGGGGACATTGAAGCATTTTTGATGAAAAGATCAGAGTTGAGTAGGGCTTTTGAAATACAAAGGTCAAAGACAGAAAGAAAGGCCAAATATACTAAAAATTTTTTTGTAGTAACAAAAAAGTAGAAACAAAGTACATGCCTACAGACTTGAGAAATGTCTACACAAATTATGGTATGTGAATTTAATGAACTATTACTCTATCACAAGAAATGATGGATACAATGAATTCACAGAGGCATGGGAAGACAAATTTACCTTGTTAAATTATATATAATAAACAAACACACTTCTAAAAACAAATTCAACAAGACAAGTTCTGTTTATTACACGTCTCTTTTCTGCTCATAGTATACTTGAATATTTGTTTGTTCCTGATTAAGTTCACAATTTAAAAGAAAAATTTAATTAAAAAAACACATAAGAACTAACATCCATTGTTCATCCATCTTTTTTTCAAAACTGATCATTTTTTCAAAGAAGACCAAAGATATCACGGGTCTTGACTTGCACTTGGATTGTATTTAAGTGAGGCAGAGTTGCACAAAGCCATCAGCCTCACTGTCTCTTCCGGAGTCACTGAAATCCGATGGCAAGACAAAAATCAGGATGACTGGCGATGGCCCAGAATGAAGTGGATGACCTTGGTGTCTCTGATGTCTGATTAAGCTCCAACCACTCCACAGCCTCTGTTTCAGCCACCTTCCTGACCCCGTTGGAACAAATAGCTCTCATCCACTCATTCTACCAGTACTAATGTTCTAACATAGAACTAATTTACACAATGACAACAATATAGGAAACACCGCGTACAGTGGTTCTGGAGTAAAAGAAGCCGAGTTCAAATTTCTCCTCTGACACTTACTATCTATGAGAACTTGGGAAGTTACAATCTCTCTGGGCCTCAACTTTCTCATTTATAAAAGAAGGGGGTTTGATAAAAAGTCTCTGAGATCCCTTTCAGCTACAAAGCCATGACCTAAATGGAAAAACAAAAATAACCAAATACAATATGCCACATAATTATAATGACCAAGATTAGCCCAAGAAGAGTTGAGACAATGCATCTCACTCACTCTCTTCACTGCAGAAGTTGTAGACAATGGGTGTAGAACACAGTGTGCACATTCAGACTCAGTTACTTTTATTAAACTATTTTTACTTTTTCTTTCTTTTTAAAATCTTTGTTACAAGAAATGGCTCAGCTGGGAGGGATGGGAGAGAGATAAAGTAAAAAGTTAGCATAACAAAATCAAAAGGCAAGATTTAATTGGTATAGGGTATTCTCAATGAAGAAACTCCCTCTACCTATGAAGATTCACAACTGCTCTGTAACTTACAGTCTTAGATTCATTCCATCAGTAAAAAATTATGAGAATGCTATATACACATAAATATTTACTTATTTATAAATTATATACATAGTATGACTACACTAATAATTATGCTTATTAAAACATAACTTCCATTAAAAAAAGGTTTATACAGAAATAGAAGATTAAAAAGGATGAGACAAAAATAAAATAATACTTGGTCCCAGAATCAATAAGGAGTTACTAGGTTTTACTCTGTAAAAGAATGACAAGATTTGACCTGCCATGTAGAAATATCAATTTGGCAACTATGGGGAGTTTGGATTAGAGAAGAGTGAGATTTGAGGTAAGGAGATCAATTAGAAGGCTCTTGTAATAGCACAGGTAAAAGGTAATGAGGGTCTAAGGGTGGTTGGTAGCTGTCTGAGTAGAAAGAAGGAGATGGATGTGAGAAATGTTATAGAGACAGAATCTTTGAGCCTTGAAAACTTGATAGAATTTGTGGGGTGAGTGAGAGTTAGAAATCCAGGATGATATTGAACTTGTGAACATGGGTAACTAGAAAAATGGAGGCATCTTCACCGTAAATAAGGAAAGTTCAGAAGAAAGGCAGTTGGTTTTTTCTGGGGGGTTTTTTGGGGGGAAGGGAAACATAATAAGATTTTGATGCAGATCATAATCTATCCACAACTACTGATCTTGTGTGACTCACTCTGTTTCACCAAAAAATGACAAGGAGGGTAAAACTTTTCTCTCACAGGCTCAGAGCTCTTACTTATTATAGAAATGGGGGAGGAATGAGTGTTTTACACTAGTGGTAGGGGAAGTTTGACTTGGATAAACTGTTGATGTGAGTGCCCTGGTTGGAGTTAGGTTATAATTGTCGTAAGGGGATTACACCTAAAGCAGAAGTGGGGGGAAGGGGGTTTGGGAACTCACATACCCATGCGAGGCAAGAAAAGGCAGAGTGGGGAAATACTGGATGATAATGGGGGAAATGGAGATAGGGCTGTACTGGAGACAAACTCCACTGATTGTGGGAGGGTGAGATGTGAATTACTGTCTTACTAGGTTGCCTGGAGCATTACCCAGTGTTACCTTGTCAGTAAGTATCTGAAGTGGGATGTGAATACTCAGGTTCCTGACTGGGAGGCCAGCTTTTTATCATCATGGGGCTTCTCAAAAAGCACAATAATAATAATAATAATGATGATGATAAGATAAAGTTATAAAGAAAAGGTCCAGAGAATAGTTTAATTTGAAGGGAAAATTAGCTCTAGTAAGAGTATGGCACAATTTTTATTCATTTTAAAATCTTTTTATTTATTATTTCTCATCCCTGTAAATATTTTTCCATTGGAGACTACTAACTGGGACTTAATTCACTAATAATGGCATTAATTAAATAATAATAACTTACTTAAAATAAGCTCACCTATTTACCTTACTACTTAACAGTTATTTGTTAACCAATGTGAATAATGTCAAAATATAGCAAATTTAGTTACATCAATTCTATAGCCAGAATTCAATTAACTGCCATTTTGCCTTCTTTTCAGTGCAAATGTAATTCTTGTTCATGAAGAGTACTATATCCTTTTAAGGTACTGCTTTTTCACATAAAATAAGGTACTGATTTTTCAAATAAAATAGTTTTGTACTAAATGAGGGAAAAGTATTTTGGCCTAAAGAAGAATCTAGCCAACTGGTAAAGGGTGTGAGATATTTCCTTTTTTATAAATGAACAGTTTAATGCTTGAAAGGAGTAAGAGAAGAACTTAATGAAGCTTAATAAAAATTTAAAGTACAAATGAAAGAAACACAGTTATCAGGTAGTATCTGAGCAGTTTAAGACAGAAAAGAACTGTGGGATAAGTATGAGATGCAACTCAACTTCAAGGATGGTAGCATGATGTTTCCTTTGTATGTGAACAGTGTGAGAGTTTAAAGAGGCAGAGAAAAAAACTATCTTTAATGATTGAAAACTGATAATATATAGCTAGTGCAGAACTTTGTTGTGCACACATATGTAATGTTTTTTGGGGGGTTTTTGCCTTCTGAATGGGTAGAGAAGGGTGATTTGGAATTGAAACTGAAATTGAATTTAAAAATAAAATAATAATGTGTGTATGTAAGT